ATTATGAAAGATGCTACGACCTTTCGGTGGAAGTAAAATAACACTTTGCCACCCTTTTTGTTTTATGTGGCAAATCATTATTTCATCCTCACAAGTTTTCTGGTAATCATGAAAACATGTAAATTTCAGGTATGAAGAATATATATTCTTACATATGAATGCTTGAAACGCCCAAACGTGGGAAGTTTTTAAATTGTAACAAGTATGTATGAAAATTGTCACTTCATACATACATACATGTATATGCTACATTTTCAAGAACATATCGCCCGTGACTTCAGCTCCTGTCAAATATTCATAGGTCACGATCAATATTTTTCTTCGAAAATACTTTTTTTTTCATTTCAAACACATATTATTGAATAAAAAGTTAAAAGAATTAAGCAAACAGCTATATAGCCTATGTAAGTGCAATGTCTTATATCGGAATGAATGGAAAAATACATGTAATACAACAACAAGTAACACCTTTAATTCATTTCTTGACAATGAATACTCTTAGTAATGTGTAACAGATTTCCAAAGCACACCAAACAAACATAAATGGTTTAATAAATTAACAAGAGACCTAGGACTAATTGATTCCACCTCTCATAGTCCAATCTGATTTCTTTTTCATAGAAAAGAAATACTTTTTAAGTATATTTCTTGAATGTCTTAAATTTTGTGGATATTATGAATTTGGAACCAGCAAATTAAGTAATAGATGAGTATGGCTAATGTATATGATAAAAGTCAAAACCTGTTATACACAATAAACAATACATCATTAGATAAGTTAAAGATTATGTATGTGGGGGTGTGTTGTTAAGGATTGATGTCCAACATCGAATATTTATTTATATAACATATCACTTATTGCTAAAGTGCAGTTGAACAAAACCTAAGGCGAATGATATTATGTTTTTGATATTTTTATGAAATTGTTACATATAAATCAAATCAAAATGATAATATATTATAACCATCAATTTCGATCTATATAAAACAGCACAGTCATATATGCATATCACAACAAAAGGCAACTCGGTATTTTTTTTATTTTCTAAGCAAAACAAAATGAACACACTCCGAATAAACAAGTTCCTTGCAGAAAGGAATATGAAAATGCTTCTCAATGTAATGAAGCAACTTACATAATGATTTTTCTTTCTCAGAAAAGAAACTACAATATATATACCTCTGGTTACAAGGGAAAGTATATGTAAATGCTAATGAACTATCAATCCGCATTGCTTTAGGTAAGCAAGGCTTCGTTCTTATATGATTTTACATTATGCTGACCTTTCCGTGGAATATTTCGATCCTTTTCGTAATAACGAAAAATTATTTCTAATTTAATCAAGCGGAAATATCGGCAAGTATGATATGAGAGGAAATTTTTAAGAATTTTTATAAAAAAAAAGATACCCAATATGTTTGTTATTCAATAATGATTTAACTTCACGATGCGTTTGGGTAACATTCCTCATTTACTTGTTGAAAGGCATCACTTTTGACTTAGCTACACTCGCATCGGATCGGGATTTTGCGGATGTCGTATTCTCGTATTTCCAGGCTGATATTACTTCCTGATCGTCCTGTGGGTTTGTGATGCTTACACATTTTTTGTCACTCAGAAACCTAGAGCCTGCATTGACAGCGTTGCGATCACGTGCCTTAATCACGTGCAGGTGATGACGAGAACGGTATCTGTTGTAGTTAAAGAAGTCGTTGAAATTTGATGACGTCACTGCAACAGGCATTGCAATCAGCATTATTCCAAATATGGCACATACGCCACCAACAAAGAAACCGAAGGAAGTGGATGGGACATAATCACCATACCCAACGGTTGTCATGGTAATAAAAGCCCACCAGATGGCGACAAATATGCTGCTGAAAGTTTTGACTGAGAACTCACACACATACATTATTGTCGCAAACATAACCGCAAAACTAACAAACGACAAAAACAAAAGTGACAACTCCCTTGAACTTGAACGAAGTGATAACATCAAAATCCGCATCCCGGAATTATTTACGACGAAACGAAATATTCTGAATACCCGAAATAAACATAGCAAGTAAACGAGTATATAGGAAAGCTTGCGCTTCCCAGTGTATTTGTCAAAGGAAATGGTAAAATAGTCCATATATAGGGCAATCCATACTCCGATACATGACAGGATTTCGGAAATGTTCAGAAAACTCAGAAAAAATTGTCTCCTTTTTGGACAAGAGGCTATTCTCAGAGCCAGTTCTAATGTAAGGATCAAATTCGTGACTGCGTTTGTAATGCCCAGCCACGCTTTAGGTCGACTACCCCTAATGATTGTAGGGACTGCTGTGTAGTTCTCCTGATCCGTTCCTGTCGAATTTACATATATAATGTTAAGTGGAAAAAGATCCCGGACGCTGACTTCACTCTCTAACAGAAAACTCATTAGTGACGCCAAAACTGTCACAATTATCATCACCTTCCACGCCTGATAAAAAAGGAATAATTGAATAATAACATATACGACTTAAGACTACATATGTTTAACAATTAGGACTGTTATTATATAAAGTATTAGCTCAAGTTGGTGTCTACGGCATATCGTGCAGCAAATATCATGATAAAGAAGCAGAAAGTTGTGGAAGGCCAATCAATAAGATGGATATTTCACAACATAAAGAGAGTTAGGGAGTAAACATGTTTGCATTGTGAATCGCAGGTTTAGAATAAAGCAAAATAACTGTCATATTCAACAGCATTGAGCATGATGTTTCTTGTTACGATCAATGTTGCACGATCAATAATTTCATATACCCGCTGCTTATTTCATCGTTCAGAGTTTCAATTGTTCACGCCTTCGTTCATTAAGGCAAAAAATCTATGACAGCGAAATTCTATAAAGTGTGTGTCAGATTTACAAATGCCAATGATCTAACGTACAAAACAGGGTCAAATTATTCAATGCCCGATTACTTTATCGAGTCAGTAACACAATTCAATTCAAAATTTTATACTCGACAAAAATTTTTAAGTCCTTCATGTTTACGTATGATATGCAATTTACTAATATGTGATATTCTTGTGTTTTAATTTTGCTGTCTTCATTTTGTCCTAATTCAAAATATTTTATTCTCGTTTATTTGACATCAGTTTAATCATGAATGTGAATAACCCAAACATCGATATGTTAAAATAAAAATTCTGTGAAGATATTCTGAAAATAGATGCCAGTCTATTTTAGTCTAGTTTATTTTTTACCTGTAAATCAAGCTATCAAGTAATCAGAAGTAATACAGTAAATGTACATATTTTTCAAAAGTGTGTAGTATGTTATTTGTGTAAGGCAGATAGGTAGTGTTTACTATGACTTAAGGTCATAGTGTGTTCGGCATCATTTATTCGGCTTTTATAAATCAATTCGAAACATACACCAAAAGGTATATAATTTCTCCTTGGTCTCTGTGGTCAACAATGCAAACAATATGGAAGGTTATATTTTGTTGTATCAATTTCTATTCACAAGTAAATTTCTAAAGTAATGTCTTGATAAACAGATCAATTATTTATTGGCCTTGGTATGAATGTCAATATCGACGGTGGACTCTCAATATTTTTAAGCATTATTTTGCATGAGCCATGATTTATAGGTTTGGAGGCAAACAGTAGAAAAAAGAAATCATCTGACCCTTTTATGGTCGTACGGAAATGTGCCATTCACACCGCAAAAATAATCTATGTTGAATAATATTCAGCGACACAAATAATGAGTACATCATTAGGGTATTTTATGTTTGTTCTCTCGGGTATTAGACAATGAAACAAATCGCATGATCGAACACATGACAATGAAACTATATAACAGACTTCTCGCACCAAAGGTAACAACAATTAACAGACATGTCTGGAAATTTAGAAATTTTGCTATTAAGAACTGTACGGTGATTAAAATCAAATATCAGAGAATTTGTCATTGTGCTAATGTGGCTATTGATTGAGTTCGGTGCGCAAAATGTATTTTGTCAACAGTCACCATGGCATGTATTTTGTACAATGAAAATCATATCGTGGATAGAAATCCTTTCTCTGCGTTAAGTTTTTCACCGTATTTTGTTAATGCTGTATTGCTTTCTATAAACATATTTGCATTATAGTTTATCCTAATGCCCTGAAATGCTTGAAATTATTTTTAATATTCTGAAATTGAAGTGGAGTAAACGTTGTCTCCTTGACAACCGACTAAGAATACCATTTCAGATCTCAAAAACATTTATATTTGTTTATAAATGGTTGAAGAAAAGACCTTGACTCACAACACTTACAAATAGTTAAAACCTAGGAAAATTGAAATAGGCATACATATGCTTCACTCGGGATACAGAGATATCAAAAATGAGCCGGTGAATCCCAAGTAATGAGGATATACATATTCAGAGTAGCCATTGTAACCATTATCCTTACGCATTGATAATGCTGGTGTTTCCAATAATATATGCTAAGATTTGCGAGTAACGCTATAGAATCACGCACGCGGCTTAGAATTCAAGCATTACATTTTAATCACATTTTGTGAAAATATCAAGGCTTTATGTGACGAGATCACGATAAGAATAAGATAAATGCTTGCGTTGTGTGTCCCTTAAGTTCGTTGTTTGTGTTGTTGCTATGGGATCAGACAGGCCATGAGTATACGAGAAATAATATAAAGAAAGATAAAATTGTAAAATTGAGGAAAGTGTAGTTTTGGTCATTTTTTTAAAACAATTCTGTCTTGTTACCATAACGTTTTTCCTGTGAATTTATATATACATGTAAACACTAGGAAAAATTGTATCTTTGGAAGGAAGAAAGCAATGCATGAACATAATAACGATGGATAGAATTCATTTTTAATTTCCTTATCGAGCAATCGAGTTTTCATACTAAACATTTGTATGGGATGATTGTTTTGTGTGTCTGTGCTGTTTGTTTTGTAATACTGAAGTTGAATAACTAAAATATGACAAATAGTAATGAAATAATATCAACTATGTAAAAGAAATACCTTTGCACCCCGAGAAAATGTCCAGTCATGAAGAAATCGCCACAACGCTGCCCGACAATCTCCACATGCAGATCTCTTGAGCCCTGATTGTGAACTTGTAGAATCCGTTTCAAGCGGAAGATAAGTGAGCAATTTGTCAAGCACGTCCATTTCATCGTCGACTTTATAAAAAGCTTTCCAGCAACATTGTTGAATACTATCTTGTGGCACTCCCCAGAAGGCGATCTCCTCTCGACTGCTCTGGGAGCAGACATTCTCTGGGAGATGAAGGTGACCTGTCTTGCAGTAGTCCAGTATCTCGTGAAAGATCCGTGGATTTCTATCAAAAAAATATTCATTGTTGTTTGGATCATAAGTGCCCCTCTTATCCTCCGCAATGGATACTGGTAGGCGACTTAAAGTTGACTTGGTTGTCGCGAATCTCGTTCCTCTCAAATTTATGTTAATGATTTCTTTCGTTTGGTCACAAGTCTTTTCTCCGACTAATTCTACTTCCATGGCTGGTCACTGATGGTACTTTGAAATAAATACCGCATCACTTTTCTGAAAAGTTATCACAAGACAGTATCGACATCATATATCAATTATAAATGTAACCGCTGTTGGTTGCGTTTGAATACAAAAGAGATGGAATCGATCAGTGTTCAGGCCTGTTATAATGTCGCTGGGTCCTCCGGTTTCTGGTATACATTTTATATATCACTCTATACATGGTAGAGGTAGCAAGCCACAGAGCTTGTCGCGACAGCCTTTACTTCATTACAGTATAATGAACAAGACAAACATTCGAAATTAGATACATTATATGCCATAAAGGGATTTAAACAGTATAATAGACCTGTTCCATCTTTCTGGGACCGCCGGCGCTATGCATGTATACACCAAACAAACATATCATGAAACAATATGATAGAGGAAAGGATTCATTAAACAATTTTCCAACTATGTACACTGTCATACCTCATTTCAAACTGAAGGGACGTCTTGGTTCTCTGTTTTGAGAACGTTCTTTTCAAAGAAAGATGGGAGAGGCAGTCGGTTCAATTATATATGTAAATGAACTATAGCGAAGCCAATTTCATAAACATTTTAAATGATAGGATTTCTGGTAGACATTATCTTTGTTGAGTTTGGCGGTAAGATCTTCTTAAAATCTATAAGAATAACTATGGTAACAAACTGTAATGCGCTTACAATTGGCTTGTTTTTAGTTTTCACTCGAGACTGAATTCATCGAAGATCTTATCAGAACAGGACATCAAGGCCTTGCAAAGTGCTTCTTTCAGATTATTAATATCATGTTCATCGTATATATCCACCGGAATTGGTTGTCATGGACAAGACAGATTCATGCACATCTGCCGCTTAACTCGATCTTTTCCTATAACTAAATCAACAACGACAGCTCTTGACCAAACTGTATGGGTCGATTTCAATTTCCTATTTTAAATTTTCCATTTCTTGAATGCAATACCTCTGCATCCCTAACGCATGATATGTACTGTTTAAATTTCTCGGTTAATTCGTTATTTGAGGTTTTTCTCTCAATATTACGATTGTCGAGCAAGATGTCGGCAACTGACTGAACACTTGACGCTACAGAGATTCGAGAGATACATGTTTTGATCGCAATGATGAGGAACAGATTTGGCCATCATTTAAATCATATTAGAATATGTCCCCTTACCTTGTGCGATATAAAGCTGGACATGTTTGATGCTCGATAGTATACCTGTTGAATTCCGTTGTTGTTTTAACTTGTTCTCATTTCAGAACGTGACATCAATTACTTGGATTGAACAATATTTACATGGCGGGTGTCGTCGATGAAGTAGAAGACATATTGTGCATGTAAATAAAGATACACTTAATGTTTTCTTTGTGTATACTTCCGTTTTATGTCATCTCTGTTTGACGATTATTGATTGGTTATTAGATATTTAATATTTTACATCCATTGGTGTGTTACATATACATTGTCATACAAATAGTCAACCAAGCGCGATAAAAAGCTAATCGATATACATGTGGGTTTAATATTCATAGTCATTTTCATGTTGAATTTCTAACGAAGTTGGAATAGAACTTATTCTTCATTTGTGTTTGGATCAACGGACAATAAATGCAATTTTTTTTTTTTGTTTTTTCGTGAAATTCCTGGTCATTGTCATGGCTACTGACAACAAATAGAGTTTTAGAAAGCACTTTCCACATAGACATTTAAGCACTCGTTTTATTATTATTATATAAGATCCTACACAGGTTGCCATTTGATACGTGAATATATCAAACGAGTCTAAGATTATTTTTTTTAATTTAGCAAATCGTTTGAAAGTCTGGAAAAGCAGATGAACTCGGTGAGGGTCTAGAAGAGGAGAGTAGAGTGTGTGAGGGAGGAGTTCATTGCCAAACTCGCCCATGGCTTCCAACAACACTCGGCCTGTGTATATTGGACTGGGCAGGTTTTTTTCCGTGAAGTTTCTCAGTAATAGTAATTGATTATTGCATCTGCTTAAGTAAGATAGCGTACAAATCTCTCTTAACAAAGATCGACCCTTCTGTTACGTCATTCTTTCCATAGCCCGGTCATATCCGGTTTTGTAGTCTACATTTCACCTTGGCGTTTTTGAGAGTAATTGCTAGTCACAAGACGAAGCCTAGGAATACGGATGGGAAATGTAAACGAAGTATATTTCATTAAATAAATTGAATAAGGGTAGAAACCACGATGATCGCTAGGCAGAGGTATAAACACGTCTATTGGCATTATTGACTGTCTACCACTTCTAGCATCATTGACGCAAAAGTTTCGGACGCATTAAGAATCATTTCTCGATAGCTACGCTATGTCGATGATTCGTCACCATACAAATAAATAAATTCAAATGTGTTCATACTATCAGATTATTTTTAATCTGATCGGTGAAACACCAGTATTTTTCTTTTAAAAAATATCCACAGATCCGATCTCAAATTCGCTCACCTGAAATGACCGACATGTGCACTTCCGTTTCTTATGACATCGCTTACTCATTCAGATGCTTGAGTCAGCTTACAGTAACCAAGAAGTACACATGTATTACATAAAATCATCATTTGAACATAAATGATACTTTGATGAAAACAAAAATAAAAACATGCTTATGATGCGAAAGTGGTGAATAACTGTGTTTTGTGTGCACCTTTTCTAAATGATTAGATTCAAATTGGTATTGTTTGGTCATTTTTGTTGTCAAATCAGCAATATTTCTTTTTTTATAACACTAACTTTTTAAATAAAGTTATTTTTCTATCTCGGTCTACTACTCGCTAGTTAAGTAAAATTTTAAAAAAATGAGTTGTCAAAAGTGATAATTCCAAAATTATCATTTTTTTTCAATAAAAGACGTCTATGCTTTGACTTCCGTAGCCAGAAAATTGCGCGAAGGCGTAGCTTATTATTCATGATCGATTTTAACACTAATGTCAGACGACAACAAAACACTGACATCCGAGGATAGATTGATCGGTTTGTTGGTAAAACTGTACGGAAATTTCCCCATAGATAACGAAGCATAGATAATACAGTATCAGATAAGATGGCAATCGGAGGCTTCTACATTTGGCACATGACAGATGATTGAAATTTTATTTTATCCTTTTTAGTGTTCGACTGGATCTCATTATTATTCAATTATTGTATTTGGGGAATAATTGTCCAAGGATTTATTACGTGCCGTCCGGTTTCTGAACTCGTCTACTCAACATCGAATTGTTCTTCAAACTGATTTTCCTTTTGTTATCAGCGAATGATATTGAAACTAGTCCAGGTCCACATGAATTGTGTATGGTTCACTTAATTGTCAGAAGTTTTAGAAATAAGATTGAGTCCATAGTGTACAAAGCTGATGAGTATGGCATATTTTTGTCTAAACGAATGACTAACAGAAACTCACTCAGACGATCATGATTCTGGAGAATCTTTATACGCTGAAGGGTAACATGAACCTTTTCGTTTAAACAGAACATTTACTTGGGATGGGATTCTTGTTTATTTTAATGACCCATGTAAGTTAAAAGTCACGAGTCTTCATGACCTTAAAAACAGAGGCGATGAAGTCATATTGTTTCGGAATGATTTCCGCAGATAATCATTAATCGTATGTACTATTTATAGTTTATAAACTATAATTAGAACTGGAATACTCCTCGAGTATTTATAGACACCAAACGTGATAGTCACAGGTGACGTCAATGTTGATTTGTAAACTATATCTCTTAAGCACATATTATCCGCACTAATAAATACTTACGGACTTGGAAATTTAATCAACGATCCCAAACGCTTTGGTCCTACCAGATCCAGCCTTCTGGATCCCATCCTTACAACTGATACTGCGTTTTGTAACGGAAGTGATGTCATTGGTACAGACAATATAATTGTTGACTATGAAGCATGTATCGCCTCAATTAAAATTAGCCGTTGACAACAAACCTGTCATCTGACTTCAATAACGTTAATAATTTAATATTGTAGTTCGATTGGGGAAATACGTTTGCAACCTGTGCTACTGTAGATAAAGCTTGTGATTTTTGTACTTTGGTCTTTTTAAGAATTCACCGAACAGTGTATGCCTTCAAAAGGAGTTACAATTCTGCCAAACGTTAAACCCTGGATGTCATCTGAATTTAGAAAGAATGTGAGACATAATTTATAAAAAACCAGTGGTAAACTTTGCGATATTGACAAATTTAAGTCACAACGCAATGAAGTTAATGATATGAAGAAACATGCTCGTTTTATGAAAATGTCATATGCTACGTCATAAGTTTTACAGTAGACTTATCAAAAGACATTCTAAATCCAATATCTTATGAAATTGAATTGGTAAAGGAAAATTTGTTAAACGACTTCTTGTGTTCCATATCAAACATTGATGATGCTTCTGTTTAGTTACCTGTAATTCAGAACTGGATTAAACAATATAAATTCCTTAAGCGTTAGCTCCAAAAGCTGAAAAGACCCTATTGTTTTTGTTATGGTTCTTTTCCCGAATTTGTGAGTTCGTAATCTTTTAAACGGCAATGGATATGCACGCAACCTATATACTAAACAAAAAAAGAAAGGTAACACTACTTTATTCTGTGATTAATTAATTAACCCCTTCATAAATCCTTACCAATCATGTACGAATAAAGTAATTGATCAATTCTGATAAAACTGCAGTCATGGTTCATTATAAAACTTTGCGTTCAGTTGATTTTATTTGACTGTAAAGGACGTTGGGGTCAATTTCAAAGGTAACACCATTAGTAACGGGTATGGCCACCGTTTGCGAAGTAAACAGCATTGCAGCGTCGTCGCATGGAACTCGTAAACCGGCGGATAATTCGAGGAGAGATGTTGTTCCTTTCAGCGATCAAGGCTTGGGCCAGCTCCTGCAAGTTTGACGGCTGATTTTGACGTTCTCGCACGCGTCGCCCAAGAACGTCCCAGACATGCTCAATCGGTGACAAAT